ATAATGAGTGTTTGTCTTTAGTAGTAACATTCAAATACGTGATATCTATATTAGCGATATTATCTACGTTCCACCGGTGAGTAAGCTTTAGGCTTACTATCTCGTAGTATAAATGTTGCAAGAAACTGTATTTCTGAAGACATCACGATACAGTTTTTACGATGCATCACGTCTGCACTAGCGCTTGATAACAGCCTTGTGTATGGGTGTTTCAGTAGTTTAAATTGCTGCTCTTGATATTTTTGATTAAACTTTGATACTATGAACAATATATGGTTATATGAGAGTATGACTTTAGAACGGTAAGATGCGTTAATGTATATCTGATATATATATATATATATATATATATATATAGGATGACATAAATAGAACAATGAGTAGTACGTCCAGATTAGAGTATAGACAACATCTAATAATTAAATTCAACAACTCTCCTTTTAAGTCTTTTTTCCTGACTTAAACTGAGTAAATGAAAGAACACAATCGTCCGGACTGCAAAGTATAATTCTAGTGCACTTCCATGTGACTATAGAGCATACAATAAGCTTTCGGGTCCCGTTTGGATCGGTTTCCATAAAATAGGTTCATCTCGGAATCTCCCATATAACTGGGGCTCCTCTTCAATTTAAATGGTGTTACTTGTTTCTTTCAAAACTATACAGTTTTAGAGACTAAGCATTAGTCTGAACAGACATCACCAGTTTGGAATTTGAAACTAATCTGTTTACAGTAACAGGACACTGCTTAAGTGTCATGTACAAATGAGAAAGTGGAATCCCGTCAATTAGGCGGACGAACCTTAAAACTATTAATAAACAGTCAAATAAGCAATATCGTAAAAGTGTATATGCATATAATATCTGGCAATATACATCAAGATCACCTTCTACAAAAATGAGTTTTAAAAGCCGGTTGATATTCGTTTGCGTATTTGACAATTATATAACTTTCGAAAGTATAAATCCTTTTCCTATACTCAGACGTTCCTGAGCCTTGCGCTTTCCTAATTATTTGACTAAAATTATAACCGTTATCATTGTATTAGTTAATTGGGAATGCGTGCCGATCAAGTACGTGCCATAAATTAAAGCGACATTGTACGATTCCGAACTAAGCACGAGACTCTGTTTATGAATCATTGTCAAATAGTGGTGACATAGTGGAAACAATACGCGAAATCGCGGATGCACAGAAGGGAAAATTTGGACAGGGCATTAACCAATCCGCATGCGCAGAACGATTGATTTCAGTACTTCGAGTACAGCGTCAAACTCGGTCCTGTAATCTAACACGCGAGAATTGACCAATGAAATCTGAGAAGTAGGAATACCGGTAGACGCTGTTGCTTGATTGACAATGTCAATCAAGAAAGGGAGGAGCTTGATGATATTGTTCTCTCCCAGTAAATTGCGATGTCAAATAACGACGTTATTTGGACGGAAAAACGATGGTTTGAAAGCGTCCAAATAACGTCGTTTTTCCGTCCAATGACCATATACGGAAAAAACGACGTTTTCGTGTTTGCAGTGTGACCGCTTGTGGGTTTCTGTGATGTGCAGTGTTGCCTCACACACCATTACGCTCCCACGACCGATTGCAGAACGTTGAACAACACATGCGTCAGCTTACGTCCCATCCGACGTTCATATACATGCTGACTGCCATCATTGCTATGAAGACGACTAACGTCCAGTCATGTAACCTGAACCTAAGACGTTGTCTTGATCATTGTCGGTGTCGGATTCTGCACAGTCGTGTACTAATCCGTCGTAAGCCTAGGATGATTCGACCTGTCAAAGTAAACTTATTTTGCAGGCGACCCATGTGATGCCAAGTCCACGATCTGCAACACGTTGAATAATTGAACAACATGGATGGAATGGTGTTCGTATAGGAATATAAAACTATTGATGGTTCCTGAAATTTAGAATATTGTGGGACAGTTAAGGAAACAGATTTCTGTTTGAGCATGTTACTTTAGTTTAAACCATCAATTCCCTTGTTTGTAAATTTCATATTTAGAAACATGGAGTCATTTTGTGTGATTTTGCGTCTGTTTCTGATTTGGCCAATCGTTCCAAAGCAATATCAACAAATCTACTCTTTAGTGATCTCTAGTGTGTGTAGAGTCGTTTGTAGTCGTTTCACTGAATATTGTTCTGTCCTTACTTTTCTACTGTTCCCGAAGGAGAGGCAAATCAATGATATCTTTTGGCCTTCGTCCTTTCGTGTGTCTTTGAGATGATGGAAACAGAGTTGACACATTGACGTTGGCATTTAGCTGGTTAAAAATAATGCTAATTTAGTTATCTGTGGACAATATGCAGTGGCGGTCGCAATAATCCCGTCTCATATAATTCCAGATATATCCCCAAATCTATCATGTTGCCTTAAGTTCAACGCTCGCCAAACGTCCGTTTAGACGCCTCCACACAAATCCAGGACTTTTAAGAAAATCCAGAGTGAATCTAGACTCTTCTGAATACATTACATGAGACTATGGGCCTCTGGCTAGAATGTGTCGATTTGTTGACGATGATACAAGACGTGGTCGCCGAGAATGCAAATTAGCTGCATGCAGACGATGTCTTATCGTTTGGTCAGTAACATGAGGTGAGGTGAAATGGGGTTTAACGTCGCGTCAAAGATTATTGCACTTATATAGCGACGTGCATGCACGTGTGTGTGTGTGCATGGCTGCTTGTACTAGTCCGGACTGATGCCGATTTATAGTGCTAGCACAGTGAGATGCCGCAGTTTAACATGAATACCCCACTCAGACACAGTATACTGACTCCGAGCCGACCAGTCCTTGTTTTAGCCCCTTCATGCCGAGCGCCAGACAGGGTAACAACAAGTACCATCTTCTAACGTCTTTTGGTATGACGCGGCAGGGGATCGAACCCCGGACCTTCCGCTCTCCGGGTGGACGCTCTACCACTAGACCACGGAGGCGGTCAGTAACATGAACTTGGTGGAATGGTGCATGTGAACAATGATTAGGTCGACTGTTTCTCAAAGCCTGTAACACCTGGTCATGCATCACTTCGTGCTTTCCTCTCACATTAAACTGATACACATAATCGACACATTAGCCGGGACACTGTGATCCGACGTCTCCGTGTCCGTTCCAACAATCTCAGATGTCGCCGACCAGCACGTTGTGGAAAGGGATCCATGGGGTTGACCTAGCGTCATGATATGGGCAGGGATTGGACTTATTGCGAGACTTGGAGCCATGTGCTTTCTGAATGTTGGTCAAGGTCGGGGACACGGCATCACTGCTCAGCGGTATATCGACCAAGTGATCAGACCCTACGTACGTTGTTCCATTTTTTGCACAACATCAACAACACATTCGTCCCCATGTTGTCAGAGCTACCATGCCCTTTCTGCAACAACACAACATCCGTGTTCTACCGTGGCCAGCCCTCAGCCCTGATCTGAACCCCATCGAACACTTGTGGGATGAGGTTCAAAGGCGTCTGCACAACGTGCGCCCAGTCCCTACAACTGCCGATGAACTACGCACAGCTGCTCTGGATGTGTGCTGGAGGATCCCGAAGGCCTTCAAAAATCGTCTGATCCACTCAATGTACAGGAGATGTGTGGCAGCGATCAATGCTAATGGTGGTCACACCAGGTATTGACTGTCATTTTGGGTATTGACCCGAAACTGTGTAAGCCCTTAACATTTGAAAAAAAATAATTATGTCATCTGCCTTTTAATCCATTAAACTGTCTTCAGTCACATTTTTGTCAATCTTGCCCTAATCGCATTTCTTGTCGTTACTATTGAAAATAAATAACATGTATACTGCACACTCGACTTGCGATTCTTTTGCGTGTGAGTATATGTGAGTATGCTAACGTGAGAAATGCACAAGCTATTTTAAAACAAAATAATAACATTATATATCGGAATTAACTTCTCATACGTTGTTCCGTTTTACTTAACACTTTACTTTCGTAACTGGAGGCCACATGGTAAAGATTACACAATTAAAGGAGAATTTTTCATTAAAGTAAGTTTCCTCTAAGCACAAGGTTGTATACTCCCCAGGGAGATGAGAATGAAAATCGAGTGCTCACTGATCCCTTGACCGGGGTAATAACAGTGTAGCGCTATGAGCATCCACTTGGTGAATGGCATCTGGCGCATATAAATGCACTTATTATTTATTATTATTACAAGGCAATGGATTTTAATTTGTTTATATTTGTTGACGAAATCTATTCAGTTTTTGGTAGGATGGATGGTTGTGAAAATAACTGGGAATAAACCGTTTTCTACTTTCTGAATAATGAGGACAAGCCAGAAGAGAATGTTATTCATTACCGGGTAGCATATAATCATCGTGTTGAAATATGAATAAATCTTGGACAACATCTACTTTGCTAGACACACATTTTCTTATTTTTCTTTCTAGATTAAAGCAAAAGATACGAACATTCGTTAAATATTACATCTATGTATTTGTGAGATGTCTATTTAGTGTCAAGTTATTAATCTACATAAATAAAACACAAGATGAGGTTTTCCATCAGCCTTATATTTTGCTGTTGAAAACAAAAGAGACACATTTCCCACCAAACATGCCAACAAACACAACTGGGCACACATTCCGCTCAGCTCTTTATTGCCACTTGCCAAGCATTCATGTCAGAGTCTGCTGGTATTTTCAGGAAATATATGATCGTAGCCCCATTGTCAAGGGTAGTAACTGAAACGCAATCTGTCTACTGCGTCATAATCATTGGATACAAACACTTACGAAGGGCATAACGATATAGTGAGGGTCGTGAATTGGGTGCACTCGTGGGGACATAAAACATCAGGCTTTAGAATTCTCATTGGCTCTCAGATAAGATCTTTGAACTATTGTGGAGTTCGCGTTCTACAACCAATAGCCACGGCAGTAAATCATGACGCTAATAGGTGACGATTTGCAGCAGCACTCGATGCGTTTTACGTTACAGTCACAAACTAACTCAGAAAGCCGTCACATGTTAAGTCTCCTGTCACCAGCAAACATGTTCGTTTTTACTTTGCTGGCAATGTTTTCTGTTGCATGGACTTTTAAAACTTTTGACGTGGCAACATTTAACGAAGGTATATTTGGTGTGAGTGAATGATCTAGATTTGATACCGCGTTAACCAGCATTACAGTTAAATCACGATGTCTCAAGTGGATGTTATAGGAATGCCCGAAGTAAGGCATTTTTTCAACGTTAAGTACACTTGAGAAACCAACGAGGGCGGGAAGGTTTATAGTTTTCTTCTTGTTATTGTGGACGCATGTCTGGCGGTGACAACCATGTGGAAAAGCAAGAACTTGGAGGCAAAACTCTCAAATCTGCTGTATGCTTACAGATAAAATCACGGCTGTGGAGGACACCGTTCATAGACTCGTGGCTAGGGTGAAGGCACTGGAGGCACTGGAGGCGTACATCAATATATCAGGTAAATTTACTTTAAGTTGATGATTTTAGCTAGGAACAAGACAGGACCGTAATTAGTAATGTTGACCCCCGATGTTGTTGGTTGATGTTGGTTTGTTGTTTAACGCCTCGCTCAGCAATATTCCAGCTATATGACGGCGGTCTGTAAATAATCGAGTCTGGACCAGACAATCCAGTGATTGATATCATGAGCATTGATCCACGCAATTGGTATCGATGACATGCATCAACCAAGTCAGCGAGTCTGACCACCTGATCCCGTTAGTGGCCTTTTACGACAAGCATAGTCGCCTTTTACGGCAAGCATGGGTTGCTGAAGACCTATTCTACCCCGGATCTTCACGGGTCTTTCACCCCTGATGACTAGATATGGTAGTTGTATTGCAAACATCGACATTTGTATTGTCGTCAAAATTGGAATCTGATATGTAATCATTACAGCTAACATTTTAAACCTGGTAAGAAATACACAATTGACCGGAGACCAGCCAAAGACGACTACGCACTGTCTACAGAGTAGTAACATTAACACCACTGGTGTTCTGCAGGTCAGTTTTGAGTGTGGTGGTAGCCACGCTGCACCAGGAGAAACCTGTCTTCCTGCTGTGTGGTGGGACGCTGTTGACCAAACAGTTTGGGTGGGGTGGCGTAGCCTACTGGTTGAAGCGTTTGCTCGTCACACCGAATAGCAGATTCGATTTCCAACATGGGTACAATGTGTGAAGCTCATTTCTGATGTCCCTCGCCGAGATATTGCTGGAATGGCTAAAAGCGGTGTAAAACTATACGCACTCACTCACTCAAAACATCTGGTGTCGTTTCCATACGATGATGACGCTAAAGACGTATGCAACGTGTTGTTTTGACCAAGTTTCATGTATGCCTATGCGTCTGCCTAATTAGTCTTTGACGCTTAGGGGACATAAATGCATTCAGTTATTGCAATCCTCAGAGCAAATGTTGTTGTGCTCTCTGACAATGACGTGCAACGTTTTGCCGTTGATCTTGAATTCTACCATGACATTGAAGAATGCTTGAGTCTGATTGGTTAAAAAGAGTTTCCCCTTTTTCTACGGAAACCTCTTTAAAATCATTCAGCCTTTTTACATAAAAAATGTGCGTATTAATACATCGTTTCATTAAAAAATGTCTACCGATCGATCACCCATGGGAAATGTAAAGCATATTTCTTCTATTAAGAAGCTGGGTCTCTGATACAAGCCAGGTCTCGAATACACGCCGGGTCACTGCCCTCGCGAAATTAAAAGATGTCTAATAGAGGAAATATGGTAGTTTGATATCGGATGGTTTTAGCGACGATATGACATTCTGTGATTGCTTTAATGATAAGTTTACAAAACTTATATCAACGGAGGCATACAAAAGATAATGTTGATGAAACTGTTCGGGTGACAAACAGGTAATTTCCTCGGGACAACTGACAATGAAAGTAAAATAAAACATTATAAAAAAGCGTTTAAAACTCATTTATTCATTATTTATGTCCTTTATAAAACTTTTCGTGATCGATATTCATAGCCATCTGGGTCAACCACAATCCTTAGAATTTGTCAGGAGGCATCTTCCCAAGGCAAGGTAGTTAACTGACTTTAAAAGTCACAACAACATTTTATCACAACAACTTACCAAATTGTCCTTTACACACTGACGTCTAATGCTGTGAAATCTTGAAATTGAGAGGTCAATCCAATCCCTCATGTCAAAATAGCTGGCTTGTCTGCATCCTTAATAAGGCCTGTTCAGTCATGCTCCTGTTCCATTAGCAATCACGTTGTACCGTCAGCCTCATTCATAAGTCTAGATGTTAATGTTTAACCACATCAAAGGTCTTGCTTCGTGTAACTTGTCAGAAGCACGAATATTGTAAAAAAACCATTGGCAGCCATTGATAGTTGTTAGTAACGGTGATGTAGGTCAAGTTCTGACACATCCCAGTTCCGAGTGGAGAGACTAACTAACTACTGAGATTTACTCATTTAAAATATATAATGTTAAATAAAAAATTTAAAAAGTTTGTTACAGAAATATATTTGTTCAGATTTTTTATATTTTTTTTATTAACTATTTCTTCAACTGAAATACGAAATGACATATTGACATATTCGATTTCCATGAAATGACCTGCGGAGCTGATTAAATAACTTGGCGATTCCAAGCTAAATTTTAAAACACAGTAGGTTTATTTTCATTCTACCAGTGGGGCGGTCGGGAAGCCTAGTGGTTAAAGCCTTCGCTCGTCACGCCGAAGACCCGGGTTCGATTCCCGACATGAGTACAATGTGTGAAGCCCATGTCTGGTGTCCCCCGCCGTGATATTGCTGGAATATTGCTAAAAGCGGCGTAAAACCATACTCACTCACTCACTTACTCATTCTACCAGTGGTTCCAACTTAAAATAGGATGTATATACTCTACAGTGGGACTACATCAAATTTCAATAAACGGCAGGTTTATCTCCTAAACTGAGATCCTATTGAAGTTACCAAATAAGAGCAAACCGAGAAATTTCAGTCATTATTTGTTTTTATATCATGAAACTTGAGTCTTGACAAACTTGAGTCGACAATAAATAACAGTCATATGTTCACCATTTTGTCTTCGCATAAGTCCCTTCCACACATCAACAATTCAAATCACATCTACCCCTACTTACCGAAAGGTCACAATATCCAAAGTCACGTGCATATATGTGGAATTAAATGAATGACTGTAGGTCATAATGGTAGTGTCAGAAACAAGATCACATTGCCTGAAAACTATACAGCACTTTCGAAATAATCAAACCATTAATTTGGATCTGACAGGTAAAGCAGAAGCCTCGATGACCTCTCTGGCTGAACGGGTGAACGCACTGGAACTGGAAGTCCAAAATATGCGTATGTAAATCATCATCTTTTCTCATTTCGTAAATTTAACACGAGAAAGTTTCTGGAAACTGGTTTGCCTGATAAGACTACATTATATACAGGCCGTCGTGGAATATTGCTAACCTTATTGTTATACACCACCCACGATTGATTGAAGCTGTGGTGGAAATCTCTCTTGCAGGAACGTTATGTTATAAGTTATGGTGTCTTTAGTTGCCGTATACGATGTCATATTCGTGAAGCAGAAGAAAAATGATCAATTTGTCTCTGTTAACCTCTGCACATGTCAAGGTGAGGTAGGTGTTGGAAAATCCAAGATGTCTGTTACTGATGGTATACGGTCTCGAATGGGGTTGGTTGTTCTCTGATTGGTCTTTCTCACTTTGTGTCAGTAACAGGACGCGAGTTTCTAAAAAAAAATGTTGTGTCATCTTTCAGGCAGCATGGAAACTGTGCGGGGCAACAGGTCTTCTACAAAGGACACACTGGGAGCAGCTGTCACGAAACCACGTAATGAATAGGGTCGTAATAAAATACACACACACACACACACACACACACACACACACACACACACACAAACATATATATATATATAACACGGACATGAAGTAGAAACATAATGTTACATACGTGGTACTAGTTGAAAGCCAATTAAAACTGTGTTCAAGCTTACTCCACTTATTTAATTATTACTATATTGTGCCTGAGAGTTAGAACTTTACTGTGCTTTTTCTATATATAAAGATCCCCAAATCTCACCTGATTTGCAAAGTAATACTTTCATGACAATTCAACTTTTTTGGGCATATCAATAGTGAGTTGAAATAATATCGGTGTAAAACATACTAAGAAAGATACTAATTTCAGCAAGTGTGATCATGTAATTTTATGTTTAAAACGTATACTTTATGCCAAATAACATTTGATACTGTTTTTGTTGTGGCAAATCGAAATATTTGATCCAACTAAGACCTATGACCTTCACTTGCGCCCACTTTTCTACTGTTGCTGTATGTGTGACATCTCCGAAACTACAAGGCCTATACAGCTGAAACTTTGAATGAATGATTCCAAGTTGTGGTGCCTCTAGGACATGTAGACGCAATTCAAGTCCGACTTCAAACATGGTCGCCATTATTAAGTCATAACTGAGATGAACTAAAGAGCATATCCCAAAAGAGTTTATAACATTTGTGCAATGTATTATCTTTCTTTGTGTGTTGTTTAACGCCGCACTCAGCAACATTCCAGCTATATGTCGGCGGTCTGTAAATAATCAAGTCTGGACCAGTCAATCCAGTGATTGACATCATGGGCATCGATCCACGTAATTGGGATGCGATGACATGCATCAACCAAGTCAGAAAGCCTGACCACCCGATCCCTTTAGTCGCCTCTTACGACAGGCATAGTCGCCTTTTACAGCAAACACAGGTTGCTGAAGATCTATTCTACCCCGGATCTTCACAGGTCGCAAGCTATTATTATTCTAAAATGGCCAGAATGAAGTGACCAATGTTCAATGTTTCTCCAATGTTACTTTCTTTATGACCTGTGTAGATTTATTTCTTCTCCATCTGTTTCTTGTAGATCCCGTCAAATACGTTGGGTGTTACAGAGACTCCTGGGTTCGAGCATTACATTTCCTCTGTCCCACAACACACCTGACAACAGAGAAATGCCGGATGTGTTGTCTTGATCATAACTTTTCCTATTTTGGAACTGAGGTACGTAACTCTGCAATCTGCAGAAAAGCAGTAACTCCAGTCAGATGATGCTTTTCATATCTAGGATTGCTCTGGCCATGGAAAGTGCTTTTGTATGCCATTCGGCATATAACCAAGTCTGTAAACTTATATTCAAACTCATGTAGATTTTTGCACATTGATCTGCCATGGTAACAAGAAGATAGAGTCCCCAAATATAATAGTCAATAAAGGCAATGTCTTTCCATCTGATTCAGTCCTTGTTAAACCCATTGAAAGTCTTCTTTTGTGGATCCCCAGTCCAATATGGTCTTTTCGATGATAGCAGTGGTAGAGGGTCCTTTACCGGGAATTAGATGGACGTCATCAATTTTATCTTTCAAGGTATAACCTGTTGCCTGAGCGGTACTTGAAGCATTCCAAGGATTGTTGGATTTAGATCCTAATCACATAAGTCTGGTATTGCTGACCATGTTTCGATAATTCGTCTTAGTACAGGGTGGCATCACTGTCGTTGATAATTGTGGCCTCTATATGAGCATGGTTCACAGGCAATCTCATGGCTGTAATATGTCAGGAAAAGAGCTATACCTGCTTGTACACCAACAGAATCTAACACAGCTATAATAACCTGATGAACATGATCATATCAAACAATTTCCAACAGGAGTCTCAATACACACATCTTTGTGTCATGGTTTCAGTATTGCCTTTTTCGTAAGAGATCACACCTTTTGGGAAAGTGATATCCTTGGACATGTGCTCCTCAGGTAATATCTCTTGCCGCAAAGGAATGCAGTTTTCACATGTCTGCGTCATGGTCTATGTTTCTTCAGAAGACAATTTGCCCTTCTTCTAGAAACCTTTCACCTTTACATTAATTTGTTTGATTAGTTTCATCATTCTCGTTCGGTACATACCAGATTTAATTTAAAAGTTATATATGTTTTAAGCTTCAGCTGTTTTTCATCATTTGGTTTTGAGTATACATTAACTGCGGATAGACTGATATCTCTATTGGAATTTTGTGTCACCAAGCGTAATTGAGTCAACTCTTATTTGGCCCTTTCTTCCCAGTGTTTAAACCCATGAAATTGGAACACTATGGTTGAGGAGACACCATAATATGTTTTTTATACGGTACGATTAGTAGTGGTTTATTTCAGTAAATCAGGCCACAGGCCCATTTTACAATATATATATATTCAAGCATTCAAACATGTTGCGCCACAAGTGCATGTAGTAATATCAATACTAATCAGTACAAGGGTATCTGAGACCATATACATATGGTGGTAGAATTAGAAGTTTATATAATGGACAACTGCTTGCTCCTCATTTAAAGAGCAAAGAATGTAAACTTGGCAAGATTATTGATTGTGAAAGCATTACTGGTGGTAAATAAAACTTTACATTTATGCTCTGATGGAGATGTATAATAATGGCAGAAGTTTTCTTCTAAGATCGTCATAAAACGGACAAACTAAACAAACATGGTATTATGTTTCTACACTTGGAATGATACAAAATGGACAAAGTCTTTCACACTTTGGAATACCTAACTTTCTACCCTGTGATACCATAAGATCACTGCTCGACGTGGGAAACTGTGAGAGAATAATCCTAAATGCAGCAATATTCACAACACTTAAATAATTTTCATATTCATTTGATAACTTAATTGTTTTATACAAATATACCGCCGTGATATTGCTGGAATATTGCTAAAAGCGGCGTAAAACCATACTCAGTCAGTCAGTATACAAATATAATGAAGATAATTTGTCAAAAGATTCAAAGAGACACTGGTTATCAATATCAATACATCTTGTTCTAAAAGCGGATATAAATGAATGGATACAAGAAACTGATTTTCTATTCCAAATTTCACCATATCCAAAGGAAAATAACAGATTTTTAACTTTCAGTGCCCAGCAATCTAGACCCTTTTCTGCCCTGTCATACTGGTACACATACGTGTGATATAATATACTGTTTTCGTTCTGAGTTAATAAACGCAGCCAGTACTTAATAATTTTCAGATGTTGGTTTACTTTTAACGAGTATCTCCCAAGTTCAGCTCTTGCTACAATATTAGGAACAGTTCTTCTCAGTTTCAAAATAAGCTTGCAGAATTTATCATGAACATTTACAATATCTTTAGAGGGATAAAATCCACTTATCTCTGAGCCATATAATAATATGGGCAGTACTTTAACATCATTTACTGAAATAAACCACTACTACTACTATACGGTACGATTGTCTGGTCTGCAATCAAGGTTCTGTTATAGGAAAATGTTGTTCTACGTGCTAGGGATTGGTGTCTGTGTCAATGCTTTTGCCATTGGCATGACCTGATGCATAGTGATGCAAGAGAGGGAGACAGGTTGTGGCGATGAAGTTTCAAACGTCCGAGGAAGTGTATTGAAGGATTTTCATAACTGGAGAGGTGTAAACAGAAACTGTGTTACGTTATTTACAAGTTTAGGGGTTTCTTTTTACCTAGCTTATGTCTTGATACGTTTTTGAGCACAGCGCCGGAGGTATTGATCACATTTTGGCACGTACCGCCCACTAGATAAAATCGTAAGTCAAGTGTTACACATGCCCCAATATGGTTCAAACGTTCTTACATTTTTGTTAGTCCATTAGTTAGTGTTGCTGGACTGAGGCGCTCAAGCTTGTCTGATGACGGCGAAGCAATAAAGGCATTTAAGCCACGTTGATTACGTTGAAACTTCTTGACCTTAAAATGTATTATGTTCATGTATTTGTACTGTTAATAGTGAGTTTAGTTTTCGCCGCTTTGAGCAATATTCAAGCAATATCACGGCGAGGGACACCAGAAATGGGCTTCACACATTGTACCCATGTCGAGATTGGAACCCGGGTCCTTGGCGTGACGAGCGAACGCTTTAACCACTAGGCTACCCGACCGCCCCTGTACTGTTTATAACAATCATACACCAATGTATGTTATGTAAAATACTAAACATACATAGTGAAGGAATGCATATCGGATTCACGTTTAGAGCAAGATATCATGTGGAATGTTATATTTACAAATGTAACTCCCAAATGCAGTTGGGCAGATTTAGGCGGATGCTTCTTGGATCTGATGTAAGCATTGGTGTGGAAATGTATATATTTGTCTCTATTTATATATGCTTTTGGAGTCAGGTGTAATCTGGAATGTTGTAGAACAGCTAGATTAGTCAAGCATTGTACTGAACCTTCTAGTTGTAACAAGCATTTTTTTCTAGATTAGAGGGCAGAAGCCTCCTTTCACATCTCACGTTACATCAAGATCAGTTGGTGGGTGAAGATCATTGTTTTCACACTGGATGCCCAACCTAGTCCTATTTTGGAAGCTTGACAGCTGTTGCTTGGTGAATATTACGACCACTGTCTTTTGCTATTACAACTGAGCAACTGCTGTTGTATATTGCAATGCCACTGTAATTACACTTCCATTTAATTTTGTACTGCCACTCTGTTGTGTACTGCTACTGCAATTATTTTGCAGTAATTTGTATTGATTGGTAAACCTAGTTATTTAAATAATATACAATTCGTAATTGTATACAATTTCTTTCTTGTGTGTTGGTTTCACACTGAATTATTTTATGAATAGAATTCTGCATTAACCTCTTGTTTCAATTTGGAAGTCGATATTTCATGTGCCATTCGTGAAAATATCTCCTTTTATCACGAGATGAGAGGAACAGGATATTTCACGAGAGACATGGAATATTCTATTTATTATATACTTATTGTGTAGTTGTCTACCGGAAAATTACATTATTTCAGAAGAAATGTAAAACCTTAAAACGTAAATTCACCCTACCTATCACACAGGGCCATTCAGCACCCATTGTATTGCGACTAAAAAAGTAGTTTCATGTTTGCAAAATCCTAAAAAAAAAATATTAAAAAAGTAACAGAAATATGTAGGGTCACGGAAGTTCTGTATCACACTTATAGATACAAAATCAACTTTAAAAATATATTTTCTTGAAAACAATGAGACCACTGTTTGAAGCAAATAAAAATACACGCTTTTCAAGAAACATAAATAGCGCTTTGCGAAATGAACAGTCTGACGAGTTAAATGACAAATTTACAGTTTATAACAAAACATTTTCAAGAGAATAACAAACGGCATAAACTCCATAAATGACCATCTGTAATTATTTTCTCTTGTCAGTGTGTGAACTAACGTGAAAAAGAAGTCAACAGTTTGTGTACGGATAAGACACTTACGATAAAGGGAGACAATTTGAGGGGAGGTAACTCTTGTATGACAATAGTTCCGTCAAAGTGTTATGTTCACAGCAGTGAATTATCAAGTGGTATGTTGACTGCAATGACAATATAACTTTTTACAACTTCGGAAAACTCTCACACTGCAGTATATAATATAAGAAAATATGGTGCCCCAGCGATAATAATACCATTTGACAATGTTCATATAGTTAATTTTTTGTTTTGTTTCCCCAATAGTAATATATATATATATCCTAGGCTTTCCAGCGGCCTCTAAAAGTCATTCCATTTAAATAAATTGTATTGATTTCTGTGTGTTATAGGTTGGACTACAATGCTTTTGTGGTGATGACATCCACAGTGGAAACAAGAAAGTGGATGACACAGAGTGCGCTTCTCCATGTGCTGGCGACGTACAAGATCGATGTGGAGGAAACTGGGCAATATCCATCTATCAGATGTAAACATGCCTAAAACTGATATATAATCCAACTGAACAAAACGTCCACTCATAGGGCTTTTCATATTCCTCTCACTATCTTTAGAATTAGAAGGAATAACTTGACACTTTACTTATACGTTTCTGAAAATATATTGGTTCTTATTTCATGTATCCCTCGTTTTGTGTTCCATCACAGTTGAGCTTCCTTGGACATTGCATATTTTTATATGAACGTATGTCTCGCTTTGTTCAGTCAAATGGATGATAAATAAAATTTAATGAATTAATCCCAAAATAGCTCATTTCTGATCAATTGATTACAACGATGAACTATTGTCCTATTTGCATGTGATTGAAAAAACAGGAAAAGAATCTTCACCCCCGTGTCTTAATGCCATTTACTTCCAGTCGGAAGAAAAATACTTCCATACCTTTAGTATCCGGACATCCAGGTCTCCGAAGTGCACATGTAAATGTTCAACTGCAACTAGCAATGAATGACACAACCACGTTTCAAAATAACCTCAAAAATAACAATGACCTTTTATTGACAGTGCATCGACATTGCGTGATGCAATGATATGATATGAACAAAAATATAAACATGTTTCGGCGGATAATCGTCGGTTATTCTCTGACATTGAAGTATTCTATTACATAAACCTGAAAGGTGACCTGGACTTTTGACTATTTTTTAACATTTTCCAAAGCAGAGCCACAATCCTGAAGCATATAAACTCTGCAAAAAAAAAACTAAATGCAAAAGTATGAAAATCGTACATATCTGACAGTATTGCCGACATCACTAATACCAAAAATAAATTTGTCATTTCTGCATGTATTGATTGGGATTGGTTTTTATGGAAAGAATGAGATACTGCAGACATTTGGTGAAAAGATGGAAATATCGCAAAAGTACAACCACGAGAGAGTCTGGCACCGAGACACACCAACATGACATGGACGTGCAACACCAATTGTGGTTCTGTAAATACGTTTGGTATTTATTCGCAAGCAATCACAATCTCACAGCAAGTGAACAGCGAATACATACCACGACTGCCGGACGCCCAACGTAACAATGCCATCGGCCGACTGCTGACAGGAGAATCATCTTCAGCTAAAGCCATGTTTTTTTATCACGTAGCAGCAAAAGCCATTACAAGACTTTGGAATCGTTATCAGACACACAAGACAACATGTGACCTTCCCACCACAATTTTGTATTTTTTATAGATCCAAAAGAAAAACAAATTTTGTTTAGGACGCCTATAAAAAGCTTGTATATTGTTTGCATATATGGAGACGGCCTCCGTGGTCTTGTGGCAGAGTGTCCGCCCGGAGAGCGGGAGGTCCGGGGTACGATCTCCGGCCGCGTCATACCAAAAGACGTTAAAAGATGTTACTTGTTGTTACCCTGCCTGGCGCTCGGCATTTAAGGGGCTAAAACAAGGACTCGTCGGCCTTGTCAAATCCAAAATCATTTAATTAAAAGTCAGAGTTAATATAATTCGTTGGCACAGAAAATGTAACAGAGTCCTGCTGTACAGTACACATACATGAAAAGGGAATTACATGGGTAACAATACAGTTACAGACCCATGGACTGACTAATCAAGGTTGATCTCATGCTATGAAATTGAACTCTTGCCGGGACATAATAGGATATTGTAGAGGCAATATGACAAAACTGACACATATCACAAGGAACAGGTCATTTGGATTTGTGCTCAGGGACGGAGTGACGCAATTGGCGTATTCACGAAATAACAAAACAAACTATCTACTGAGTCTTCTGCTGTTCGTGTTCTTTGGGATTCATGAAGTTAATAGATAACTGGTTATACTATCCATGCTACCCTTGCTTAAATATGTCTCTGTACATAACATTTTCAACATAGACATCAACAACGGTGCATACTTATATTTTCTGTAAGTACGTAATTTATTTTCATTTACATTACCATTATCATACCAAAGAATAGTGTGCCAATTAACAGCGTCATCCTGAAGTAAAAACGTTTAGAGTTTAAACGTTTAAAGTTTGAAAATATTGAAATACGGATGGACATTTTCTTCCTTGATTCAAAAGTTGATTATTATGGACTACATATTAAACTCAGAGGGACACAGTTAAGAGGGCTGGCAGAGAATTAAAGGGAACTGATTTTTATTGCAGAACAATTCACTGAAAAAGTTAGTAGTTACAGTGAGTGAGTGAGTATGATGGGGCTTTTAGCAATATCCAGCAATATCACGGCGGAGGACACCAGAAATGGGCTTCACACATTGTACCCTAGTAGTTACAGAAGGAATGTACTGTTGCCGTTGCTGAGAGATGCAAGATGCAATAAAAGAGCTTCCATGACGGTTGACAAACTCCATGCAGATAAAGTGTTACAAAGGGTCCCATCCTCACCCTATCGGGTACAACAGCCTATCTTTAACGCCATGAAAAGAGAGAAAGACGACTGTGGTCGGGAGAATGTGACTGTTCTCTGCACTGATGCCAAAGCTACCTATCTGCATGCATGTCTCCCAGGACCGGAGCTAAGGATCACAAACATGAAAAACAGTGATCCTATGAAAAACATCACCCGGCTGTGTTGTAACTGTACAAAGACAAAGTAAGTGAAGCCGATTCACAGTAGAAATTACAAATAACTGTCTGAATATCGCTGATAAGGAGACTGAATCATACGAATCTGTAGAATCTGTAAATAATAACTCTTCAAATACAACAAATAAGGAAATCGGATTGTGTAAATACCTTAATAATAGATTCTGTAAAAAATAATTCTTTGAAAATCACAGATAAAAAACCGCATCTGATTTTGATGTTGCGTGGCAGTGTATTTTATTGTTTAACAATGATTGTAACTATGTTATATTGTTTCCTTGGAGATTCCGTAGACGCTCATTGTGGACTGTATTTGGGCAGTGATTAGTCGTCAGGAATGTAGTGCGAAGTAATCAAAGTAGTCGTCAGGAAGTTACTATATTTAGGTGCTAGTGTGGTGGGTAAACTTCCGAAAACGGCGAGAATGGTCCGGCATTGCATCGAGCCTTACATCATTGACTGGAAAGTTACCATAGCTGGGTAGGTTGTATATTAGGAGACAAGGTTTATGCATCTCTCACACATTGGATCATCTCTCATACATTTCGTTTCTTGCACTTTTTCATCTCTTCGGTACCAGTTTTCATGTGAGGATCGCTCGTCATCCCCGATTCCCTGCCCAGACCATCACAGAAGCTTGATCATTGGCGCCGCTGGGTGAATACATTTGATTATCACTGACTTTTGCTGTCAGCACTGTAATTTTGTATTTGATACTGACCACTGCATCATATTATTTATTGAAATTGAATATTGTATTGTGGCAGGCCAAAGTCTTTATATACTCATCAAACAAAGAAACGCAATACGGATATAATTATAATTTGTGGCCATAAAAGCAAAATTAACGGACCAAGAGGTGCAATATGAAGAGGTTTAATGTGTTATAGTGTCCGTGACAAATTTACCGGATCCAAATGATGACAACGAGGACATGCAAACCATTAATCGGGAAACGCGTACGACTCAGAAAAAACGCAAAAAGTGCATTAAAAAAAGGGCATGGAGCTGCACGTACTACACGTGCAGCAGCACTATGAACGGCATTAAAGTGCAGTGTTTTTGAGTACCCGGCATCTGCGTCAGTCGAACAGTGACAGTTCAACAACATGCCAAGAATAAAAGAAGTTCAGAGAAGCAAAGTCATAGGCCGCTTGCTGGCAGGGTAATCCTGATCAGCTGTAGCCAGGGTTTTCAATCTAGCGCCGAGCACCATCACAAGGCTATGGGATCGATTTCAACAGCATGGATCAACACGTGATCGGTCAAGAGTAACCACCTCCGCCTAAGATCGCTACATCCAACTGCGCCACCTACGTGAAAGGACGACAACATCCACCTCAACAGCATCCCAAATACCTTGACTGCGCAGAATCTCCGGCCAGACCGTATGAAACCGTTTAAGAGCAGCAAGTGTACGAGCAAGACGTCCTGTTCGACGCGTCATATTGAGTCGACAGCATTATCAACAACGACTGCATTGGTGTCGTCAACACCAGGTATGGCCTCAACTGGTTCAGCGACAAATCTTACTGCTCACCGATGCCTCAACGAAATTCTCTTACCACACGTCCTCCCAACTGTAGCCAACGACAACTGTGTATTCAAGCAGGAAAACGCTCAACCGCATACAGCACGGATCACAAGAGCTGGTCTACACAGCAACAACGTTGATGTTCTCCCCTGGTCCTCCGGATCCCCGGATTTGAACCCGATAGAGCAGTTGTGGGATGAATTGGATAAACGGCTACGCCGACGTCAACCACAACCCGAGACGTTGCAGCAGTTGATTTTTTCGTTGCAGGCCGAGTGGGCTACCATTCCCCGGGGTTTGATTCGCATACTCCTCTCTTCCATGTCAGGCTGCTATCGATTCCGACTGGGGACATGCAGGTTATTGATGGTAGCGGACCTTCACCTTGGACTTTTCCAATATATTGATAACTGAGATCACTTCAATCCCTAAGTGTTCTCTCAACAACCTTTCAGGTCAATACCTTATACGGTTCGTCGTATAAATGTATTTTCCTACTTCACACAAAACTGGCTTTGTGTTTCTTTTTTTGAAGAGTATATTTACGTATTGTGTGTGAAAGCTCAATATAGTACCTTTCTGATGACTGAATCACTACACAAACACAATGCAACGATTCTCAACACAAACAATATAACACAGTTACAATCATTGTTAAAAATAAACTGACGTCCAAAAGAAACTTGACCAGATTTTGAAATCACTCTTGCTCAAAAACAACAAAACATACATGCATGAAGTAAAGTGTATTGAGAAGATCAATATATCAACATAATGAACACTGAAAATGACAATCATACCGCGACCGAGAATGACGTTAGAGCCCCCCAAAGTTGGGTTTGGTACAAAACTCGAGCTTTCAGAATCATGGGCAATAGGCAGAGTACATAAACAATCGCTCACGTTCAATAACAAGTCATTAGTAGCGTGTGTGACCACCAAATGCCTCAATACACGTAAAAACTCTTCGACGCACAGAAAAAGTCAGTCGTCTGATGAGGTCACGTGGGATTTGATGCCCTTCTTCTTAGAGGGCCAAGATCAGTTCTTGCCGGTTGGCTGGAGAGTGTGATTGTTGTCGAACACGACGATACATCAAGTCCCAGAGGTGTTCTATGGGGGACATGTC